TTTGAAAACTATAACCATAATGCCTTTACTACAGCACTGTAAATTCTGACATTGGATCCTACCCACAGAGACCCACACCTCACCAACAAGCCTTGGATGCTCTTTTCAGGCTAGGTACAGAATCATTTTGAACTTGCCCGACCCTTCTGCTTAGGATCCCTGGAAGAACTCTTCTTTTTGTAGAGTTTCGATTGCAAGCCTTTTTTGTCCCTACCAATTTGTTATTGCAGGAAGAGCTTTACTAATAGTCCAAGCTCAGTTTCTTTATTCTTGGTTGTTAAAATGAGTAAGAGATTCATGTTACCTGTTCACTGTGTTAATTAATGGGGTTGTTCAACATTTTACATTTTTGGGGGGGTTTTAAACTTATCATAACATTATCTTAAGAGATATAAAGCTCAGAATTGTTATCCACAGGCAGCCTGTAAACTACAGCTCCCCCAAGGAAGCAACAAGTCAGGGTTAAAGAAAAAGAAAATTCTAAATTTTAGTCTTAACTTCTTGGATGTTTTGGAATTAAAAAATAGAAGCGTAACAAAGGAAGACAGCAACACAGCTTTCCCATCTGGATCTGGCTGTTAAATGCAGAGCACAGGAACAAAGGATGGCTAATCATTAATAAAGTGGAGAGAAATGAACACTTGGCTGCATGAGATCACGACATTCGGCCACGCCATTACCAGAGCAGGCGAAGCTGGAAGGGAACTGACCACTAGGCTTCAGCAGCAGAGAAAGACTAAGGCCGAGGAGATGCCACCGTGCAGATTATGGGCAGCACAGAGATATAGTGCAGCAATCTGTAAGAGGGAGAGTACATGGAGAAGTATAGGGATTACTGAGCATGACAGCAACACCCCTGACTTCCTCAGTTACAGTCAGAGTAAATGACCTCAACCTGCAGACTAGCAAACACAGGGATCTAAGCCCTGAGGCAATGGATGCACTGGGGAGAAGTCACTAGGGAGGAAGGAGTCAGACAGTCTTACTTTGGCCGTTTTTTTCTTGTCCCTTACCTGGGTTTGCAGCAGGCGTGCGTTTCTGTATCCTTGTAATCTTGCCGACTGTTTATCTAATAGTTTCCTTGCTGTGTTTCAGTCCAACTGGCCTAAAAGAGAAAAGCAAAGTCTAGTGCTCCTTACTTTCGCATTATTTTGATTATTAAAGTCAGTGGTTATCTTTCATGTGGTGCTCTGCTTTCCATTTTGAATATTTGGGTGTTAAGGAGCTCCAATAAAGATGATTTGCCTTTCTCCGTTGAATAAATTGGTATACAACAGTTGTGCGGAGGGGTTAAAGTGTAGGCTTTAGTCCAATGGTAAGTTGCAGAACACTGAAGTCAAGTGGGCCTTACAACCCAGCACCAAATTCAAGTAAATACTGCCAAACAGGTTTGAGAACCGAGACACTCAGATTTGTGCTGCATGAGGCTACTTAAAAGGAAGCAGAGTGTTCCCTTAGAATTTCATGAACTATTCATGTCCTCCTGTCCTTTGTCCATTTATTTTTATTTTGCTGTTTGTTTCTAATTAATATGTAAGAGCTACTTTAGGCTGCTCTTGACATTGTATTGTTTTTATGGGGGGGGTTATTAGTTTTTGAGATAGGTTCTCACTCTGCCTCCCTTCAGCCACCCCTCCCAAGCTTCCTGTCTCAGTTTCCTCAGTGCTTGATTTCCAGATGGAAGGCCCCACAGCTGCCTAAGAGCTACTTTAGAGATGTTTTCGCATTGAAACAATCCTGCCAAGTTTGTTGAGTTTTCCGCCTTAGCTTATGGTATGTTTTACTACAAGGCTTTCCTCGCTAACTTCAGTCTTAGACACACACATTTCTTTAAAGAATTTTAATTCATGTTTCATATTTAGAAGTGACTAAAATGTGCGAAAGTTTCTGAAGGATGAATAAGAAGACCTGATTTAAACACACACACACACACACACACACATACACACGGGGTTGGACAGAGAACACAGATGCAAGTGGGGGAAGGCCCATATCTCAGGACCAGGAACATTAATCTTGCAAAAGTTTAATTCTCCCCCCAAATAAGGTATTATTAATTCATCCCCAGTCACAAATGAGGACCTGGCAAGACCCTTTTTTATACATTTTGAGCAGCTGGACCTTAATAGAGTTTGCAGAAATAATATTGTTGGAGAGGCAAAAAAAAAAAAAAAAGGGAGAAGAAAGAAAAAGAAAAAACAACTATGTATGAAGCAAAAAGATATGGTCTAGGTCTTTAATATATGATAAAGGTACTTCTGCATTTTCTGAGGAGGGGTGGCATCCACCCTGGTGCTTTGAATGCAAACCAAGGGACACATGTTGCCATTCTGCTTTGGAGGTTTCTTTTTTTTTAATTTTTTTTCCCCAGACAGAAACAAGTCTGGGTTTGAGTTGGAGGCTTTCGTCCATCCCAGAGGGGCGCTCGCTCCCCTGCAGCCCCCTCAGGAGAAGGGGAGGAGCCTCTGCCAGCTTGTGGGAAGCTGTGGGAAGCTCGCGCGCTGTGGCGCCTGTCCTGGGGGAGGGGCTGCACTTCTCCCGGCGGTGGCAGCAGACAGGGAGCCAGGAGGTAATGGCTGTCTTAAAGCCCGTTATTTTCTGGCAATTTCTTCGCGCTTTGGGGGGAAAGGTGGGAAAAGAAAATAGAAATTAGTGCCTGGGAAGAGGTGGGGATGGAACGATGTTTGGATAGATTTGTCGTTACTCGGGTGAAATTAATTCTCTGGAATTTGGGGTTTTCGGATAATTTGAAAGTCCGTAGTGTGGGGAGAGGTGATCGGATTGCAGCTTCTAAATTAAGACTTCAGTGAAGCATGCCGTTCACGTTCATTTTCTTATGTGGCATTCTATGTTTTTGTCTCTGGTACAGTTTTGTTTTTGTTTTTTTAATAAGATTTTGTTTTAAACATTTGCATTCTGCCAAAAAAATTACTGTCAGAAAACGCAGTCATAAAATGAATGACACAGAAAGGTGCATGGGCTTGGAACAAGATTTAGATACGCTGTTGAGTGATATCACTTGTAAAACAAAATGCGCGTTTTCCTGACTGCGGGCGGGGGCGAGAAACTAGACTCATTGCGTCTCTGAGTGTTTTGGGTATACTTGGTTGGTGGCGAGGTGAGACGTAATCTATTTAAAAAAAAAAAAAAGAAATGCTTTCAGTATTTTCAGAATTGCTTTATTCCCTGATAATTTTTATAATTAGACAAGCAAAATGATGCTGAGACAGCATACCTATTTCACTTCAAACATACACGCGCGTGAACACACACAAGTACACACAGAGATAAGTGCTCTCAGAATCCATTTCTTTGGCTGAGAGAGGTTTTTTTTTTCTTTCTTTCTGGACCCAGTCAAGCAAGGAATCAAGTTGTGTACACTACAGCCCTGCGTGCATCCTGCTTGGGAGGGCTCCTGTCAGGCCACAGGTACAGCAGCAATGAGCAAGAAGCATTATTTTCTCAGCAGTATCTCAGTTCAAACGTGAGCTAGGGGACTGGGTCCTGTACAGCATGCTGCTTCAGTGCTATGGACCGTTGTACATAGCTGGCAAATAAAAGTATGAAGCTTTGGTGATTTGAGAAGCTGGCTGCAAAGTAGAAATAGTGAAAAAAAAGTAAGTTTAGAATGACAAGCAGCGTTTTAAGTTATTTAAGGAGAAACAATACAATTAACAAAATGTATAATCAAATCAGAAAAAAAGGGGATCAGCCTAGTACTAATGGAATTTTTATGTAGTGGAGATAGAAGTGGTCTTACTGTTTTAAAATAGCCTCCTTGTTGTTGTTGTTGTTGTTGTTGTTGTTGTTGTTGTTGTTGTTGAAGACAGACTCTCTATAGACCAGGCTCACTGGGAACTAAGTGGCTTCAGGCTGTCTTTGTGGCGATCTTCATACCTCGGTCCATTGAATAATGGGAATATAGGCTTAAGCAAACAGGCTGGATTTAAAATAATCTTTAATCTATATTTAATCATTTTATAATGATATCAGAAACTAAACCTTTCAATAAAAGGCTTCAAAGTTGGGGAAAAATAGAATTTGAAACAACTACACTGGCTGCAAGGCATGGTGTTTTACATCTGTAATCTGAGCATTCAAGAGTCTAAGGCAGGAGGATGGCCTTGCATTTCCAAGTTAGCTAGGCACTGCATAGTGATTTCCAGATCAGCCTGGACTGCACAACAAATGAAAGAACCAAAACCCAGAATCAAAATCAAATGAAAAATTAAAAACAATTGGCTTGTGATAGTATGAGTTCGTGAGTACATGTAAAATATATAAGGCATATAGATAATTAATTATTAGTAGAGTTATCTTTCTAACATTATAATTTTTGTAGCTTTCTCATATTTTCAATAGGCATGAAATTTATTTTACAGTCCAGAACTTTGGGGGTGAGGACATTTGGATTCCGTCTTTTGTACAATGCATAGCAAAGCTCTGATTTTCAGTCTGGTATATTCTAGAAGCCTGAGAAAGCTGCAGGCTGGGAAGATGTAGTTCCCACCTTTCTCCAAGGACATGCTAGTGACAGTTCTGCTTCTGGACACAAGATGGCGCTTGCCAGATAGCCTTATTTTTCTCCAAACAAGCGTTTTTTATAAAATGAGCAAACCAAACCATGAAACCTATTTTGTGTTAGGAAAGTCTAAGACAGCATGTAGTATATAGTTGAAATTCATTTGAAAAGCTGTTGTTTAAGGATGACAAAGCCCCATTCAAGACGGCTGTGAGGACTCTAAACATTTCAAAATTGTAGTTCAAAAGGTTTGGTCCAAAGTAGACAGAAAGCTCCGGCTGCTTCTGTCTCTTCAGTCTCTATCTGTAACCAAGACGGCATGCCTACAAGAGTTTCGTTAGGGGAATTCATTTACACTTTTTAAAGACCAACTTTATTGGTTTGCTTCTCTGTTCCTTTTTGGAGTAGCCTCAGTTCATATCCCACTTGTAAGTGATGTGGGCAGTTTACCTGTGATCCATTTGCATCCTAGAAAGGCGAAGCAGCTGCAGGACTGTCCAGCAGAGTAAAGGCTCTGTTGGGAAAGCGGCTGGGGTGAGACTCAAGACAGCCGGATCGCAGGACCAGAGCACCACAGTTCACGTGGCTGAGGGTAAGAATCTTCCCTTTTCATAAAGCATTTCATGTTAAGAACATATGAGGTTGGAGATCTGGGGTACAGCTTCTTTCTGGTTTGGTAGTCGTGGCATATCAAATTACAAGCCGCTCTTCCTAAGGCCGGGAAAGAGATAAGTACAGATGGTTCGCCCTGGTGCTGCTTTGATTTGTGTCTCTTCAACCTTACTATGCTGCAGACTCCACTGGCCTTCAGGATAAGTCATGCTTTGCTTTTGCATGTTTTCCTAGATGGGTAGTGCCACTCAGCTGCCTCAATCCTGGTAAGAGCAGAGCGCCCCGGCTTCCCAGTCAGCCCTTTTGATGCAGCCTCAAAGTTCCTATCACATTCGCAAGTGGGCAGTTGACCTGTGATCCCTCTGAGCCCTCGAAAGGCAATACAGCTGCAGAGGTGTCCAGCAGAAGTATCCGAAAAGCTTTGCTGGGAACACAGCTGGAGGGAGAATCAAGATAGCTTTTAGTCAGTCACGTGGTGATGACAGGAAACACATAAAACTGTTTGGTACAGTGCACTATTGCCAGTGTTCTTTGTTTGCTTGCTAGCTTGTTTATTTTGTGTGTACAGGCATACGAGGTATGTCTGTGCAACACTTGTGTGCAATACCCTTAAAGACCAAAGAAAGGTGGTGGACCCCTGGTTGATGCTCTGTCACAAGGTTACAGAGGGTGTGTGCACCACCACATGGCGGCTGGCTTTCAAGCTCAGGGCCTCTGAAAGAAAAGCCAGTACTCTTAATACTGAGCCATCCCTTCAGTCGCCTGTGGTTTGACTTTTAGAGATAAGGTCTCACTCTAGAGTACAGGCTGGCCTGATACTGGCTATATAGACCAGATCAGCCTAGAATTTGCAGCTATTTTCTTGTCTCTGCCTCCCTAGTGCTGGAAAAATAGTTATTAACAACCATAGCCAGCTCTACCTGTGATTCTGGTGTGTGCGTGTCTGTCTGTCTGTCTGTCTGTGTATCCAAGTGTATCCATAGATTACCTAAAATGCAGTTTAACTGATATTTTCAAGCTATGAGTTTATTTGAGAATGACTCTATTATAATTTGAGGGAAAATGTATGTGCTAAAGCTTTATAATCAAATTAGGCAAATGTTCACAATGATAGCTACTTTTGGAAAACGGCCATGTCCAAGCCAAACTATATGACTCACAAGAGACCCTTGGAAAGAATCCTGTCAGTAAGTAGCCATGTCAGTCATTCCAAACCTCTGACTGGCATCCTCTTAATGATAGGTTATTATGTTATCTGGGTCACTATAAGAGACACAGACCCTGAATTCTGTCTGGCTGATACGGGTAGATAAAAACAGGACTGACAAATTAGGTAAGTTCAAAGAAGAGTCCTTAGGATAAACTTTGAAAGATCCCAGAGTACCCCCTCAATGGAAGTGGTACCCCTGGTGTTCTCCCTGCTCTCCTTGCCCATCTCTCACTTGTCACCAGCACACATACTGATTCTTTTTACATTGACTACGATAAGAACTGTATACTGGGACATTATAAAAGGACCATTTTAAAATGATTTAAGTAATTCTCCTAATCACAATCTTATGTCTTGACCTGGTGGCAAGTAATTTTGTCCTTTTTCAAGATATATGTGTGCTCTCGCGCGCGTGCGTGTGCACCTGTGTGGAGACCTATGGAGGCCAAAAACAAAAGGGTGTTAGATCTTGGAGGCAGTTGTGAGTCACCTGATGTTATGGCTAGGAACTGAACTCAAGTCCTCTGAAAGAGCAGCAGGCACTATAAACTACCGAACCATTCCACTGACCCCCATCTCTCTTTTTAAATGACTATTTTCTGGTGTCTTGCATTCAAATTATTTATTCAAGCTTTTTTCTCTTATTGAATTGTATATGTTCATGGTGGGGGTGTCACATGCTTGTGTGCGCATTTATGTACGCGAAGGCCAGAGGTATTCACTGGGTGTCTCCCTCAATCACTCTTCATGTTTTTGATATCAGGTATCTTATTGAATCTGGATTTTCCTTGACTTGCCTAGATGAGTGACCAGTTCGTGGGATCCTCCTGTCTCCCTTCACAGACTGGGATGTCAGGCACAAGCCACTGTATCTGACTTTTACTTGGGATAAACTCAGGTCTTTACAATGTGAAATCACACTGGCTCCTCTACGTCCCGTGCTTTTCCAACTCATTTTTATTAAAGTTACAGTGACTATAGATATGTATGAGAGGTGTTACACCCTAAAATTCGTGTTTCTGTCAATTCACATGGTATTTAGTCTTATTTATTTAGATCTTTAATTATTTGCATGAGCATGTTAAAGTTTTCAACATACTAATCTTGCATTTAGTTTTTCTGTTTTTGTTTTGATTTTTTTTTGAGATGAAGTCTCTCCTCGACCCAAAACTTGCCAAATAGGTAAGTGTGGCTGGCCAGCAAGCCCTGGGGAATCCATCTGTCTCCACCATCCAAGTACTGGATTACAAGCACAAACCACAACACCTGGCTTTTTCAATATGGGCCATAGGGAACCAATTCAGATCTTTGTGCTTGCAATGCAAACACGTCACCAACTAAGCTGTCTCCCAGTCCTGTTTCTTGTATTTTTTTTAAATAAAACTATACATGGAGTTTAAGAACTTTAACCTTAAATCTTTGTTGTAGAGAAACACAGTCAACTCTAGATTAATTGATTCATTAGGATTCTCTTTATAGATCATTCATGTCATTGACAAAGGCAGTTTTACTTTTTCTTTCCAGGACATATATAATTAATTTATTTTTTCAGGCCACATTGTATTCACTGGGGCCTCCAGCCCAATGTTGACTAGAAATGCTCAAAGCAGATACTTTTACTATGTTTTTGTTTACGCAGAAGGGCATGCCACGTATCACCACTATGTATAATAGTAACGGTAGGGCTTTTGTAAATATTGGTGATCTGATTGAAGAAGATCCATTTGTTTTGTAATGTACTCAGTGTTGTTATCCTGAATGTTTGTGGAATGTTGTTAGATTCTTTGTCTGCCTCAGTTACCATGATTTTCCACCATTTTTGGTATTCTAGTATGGTCCATTGAACTGGTGGGTTTGGGGATGTTGAACAATCCTTCCATTCCCAAGAATGAGTTTCATTTGATCTTGATAGGTCTTTTATAACTGCCATTGCTTCAAGCAGTAGCATTCGGTGAGGATTTTTGCTTTTATGTTTATAAGAGATACTAGTCTGTAATTTTCAGTACTTTTTATTGTGTTGTTGGTATCGGGTAAATACTGGTTTCATAAAAATTTGTTTGATGTTGTTCCCTGTATTTTATCACCTTATTCTTACTAGTTTGCAGTATTGGTTTTTCAAGTAGAGACTGGTGCACTACAAGATTTTCTTTTCTTTTCTTTTTTTTTTTGAGACAGGGTTTCTCTGTAGTTTTTGGTGCCTGTCCTGGAACTAGCTCTTGTAGACCAGGCTGGCCTCGAACTCACAGAGATCCGCCTGCCTCTGCCTCCCGAGTGCTGGGGTTAAAGGCATGCGCCACCACCGCCCGGCCGCACTACAAGAGTTTGGTCCTCAATTCCTTACCCTAAATTTTCATCAGCCCCTATATACCTGCACTACCAGAAGGGGATCTCTCTATCTTCATGTTCTTCCCATTTTGCCCACTAGTATTGAGTACTAGGTTCCCAATGAGGCAGCAAGTGTTAGACAGGGTAGTCTCAATGTTTGGGGGTGCCTTTGGGCCTGGACCTTGAAAGTTAGAGCTTTCTCAGTAGTCTTCCCTCTCCTAGAGGCAGGTAACCTCCCATTTGAATCTCTGAGTGAACTTTGGAAGGCAGCTATTGCTCACCAACTACCACACACACACACACACACACACACACACATACACACACACACACACAGAGAGAGAGAGAGAGAGAGAGAGAGAGAGAGAGAGAGAGAGAGAGAGAAAGAGAGAGAGAGAGAACCTCAAAGCCCATCCCTAGGGAAACAGTTCCTCCAACAAGGCCATACCTCCTAATCCTTCCCAAACAGTTCTACTCCCTAATGACTAAGCATTCGTATATATGAGCCTAGGGGTCTATTCTTATTCATGCTACCACAAAGTTCATCAGCTTTTGATACTTAATTTAACATAGTTCTATGATGATAGACTGAGGGATAGCTAGGGCCTTATAATCTATCTAGAGAGTTGTCATTGTTAAGTTTGTTAAATTGCTAATGGCATTTTCTTATGCTTTTTAATATCTTAAGAGAAAGTACTTCTGGTGCTTTTTAGTAATGTATGCATGTGTTATTCTTGCTATTTATATTAAACACATCCTAGAAACAGGTGGCTCCTGAAGTGTATTTATAGAGTTGATTTTTGTATGCCAGTTATTATTATGTTGTGTTTACATTTTTGTTCTTTGTATTATTATAGATTAAAACTGTATTTTAAAGCAGCATGTATTATACTTGAGCTTTAACATATATTCTGGTTCTTATAACCACCACTACAGTCGAAAGTCAGTATTGCATCATCTCCATGATTTCCTTGTGCTGCCCCTTTAAAGCTACACCCTCTCCCATCTGGAACACCAGCAACGGTGATCTTTTCACTATTATTACCCTTCTATTATTTTGAAAATGTCATGCATATTAAATCATGTGGTGCTGTGGTGGACAGATTCTAAGTAGCTCAATCCATTGCAGAGCCCTGGTGTGCAGGCTACACCTCATTTGCAATTAGCGTAAACTCTGGCAAAGATGATAGGATGTCACTCACTGCCATGATTGTATGAGAATGTCTTAGCCAAGTGGAGGAGAAATAAAAGAGGATGGGAGAGGAGCAAGGAGGGAGGCAAGCTAAATGCAGAATCAGGTGCAACATTCTCTTTTATGTACCAGTGACTCAGCACATAATGCTTTAAGATTAATTATTTTGCTCAGCTATTCATCCCACGCACAGGTATAGAACATTTTTTATTTGCAACAAAGGATTTTCAATGTGTCTTAGTGATTACAAACATTAACTCTGGAGTCAGAGTACCTAGGTCCAAATGTCCTGTGCCAAATACACTGTGGACTTTCTTGTAAACATTCCTTAATCTCTCTAATACCTCATTTACAAAATGAGAATGCTAAAAATTCTCACTGCTGTAGTCCATTTGCACTGTTATAACAGAGTACTTGAGACCAGAAAATTTCTTCACAATGGGCATATATTTGGCTCACAGTTGTGCAGGCTGAAATAACCAAAAACTGAGAGACCATCTCTGCCAGGGACCTTTGTAAGGTCACAAAAGTAGCATATAGTACAAGAGGAAATGAGAAAAAGAGAGAGGGACCCAAGTCCATCGTTTTCTCTGGACCCCATTCCCACAATGAATAAACCACTGCTGCAAGGCTGCAGTAATAGGTTCACTGAGGTTTTAACCAACACATAAAGGTCTCTCACCTCTTAGCACTTACACATTGAGGATGTACATTTCCAAAACATGAACTTTGAGGGATATATTCAAACTTTAGAGCCTTTCCAACAATATTTTGTAATATACGTGGATGGCTTAATAGACATCCTGACATGTAGCAATAAATCACTGGCATCTATCCTCAACACTAATACTAATAATATTTATGTAGAATGAAATAAATTATCTGGTTTTTAGTGAGTTACCAGTCAAATACTAATACTATTGCTTGGCATGTAAAAGTTATAGGTATTATATATGATTTTTGTGTCATCTACTTCATAATAATAACACTAGTATAATTTTAAGCATTTATTAGTATTTATCATTCTTTACAGTCTTCTACAAAACAGTAAAATAAAAATATATCCATGGAATTGGTACAATATTGACTGAGTTGTGCATAGACAAGAAAGTATAGTTTTAAAGTGTAATAACTATTTATATGCACTTGGGCATGCAAATTAATAGGCAGAAAAATGTTATAAAGTGTATAATCAAATAACCCCCTTCATTTAAATAAAATCATATATAATACATTAGCCAAGTAATCCTCTTTAGGTTAAATAATAATGTTTAGTATTCTGTAAAAGTGATTCGTTTTTGGTTAGCATTCTAAGATCAAATATTTTTGTGCTGCTATTCAAAGGACAGACAGGTAAATCCAGGGACATAGCTAAGACACAAGTCCACTGTTTTATAAGTTGATAGCAGAATGTGTAATTCTGCTAGGGGCTTAAGATCTTCCATCTCAAGTGAGTTACATCATTCTTTTTAGTTCCGAATAGCTTTCCAAACTGTATCTGTCTATCGTGGTCAATTTATAGTGAACATGAAAAGTAGCGAAAGTGAGGCAGAAAGCCCAGGCTAGCAGTATCTGCTTGTGGTAGCATTGCCTTCAGAATCTTCCCAGCTACGCAGTTAGACACATAAAAGACATCAGTAAAAATGAAAAGAAAAAAACCTTTATGTGGCAAAGAGTGCTACGTGTTCAAATTCTTCACTTTCCTTCTCAATCAGAAGGAAACGACATTCTCCAGGCTCTGCTGTAGTCTGCCTTCCACTCCTGCGTTCCGGTTAGAGAACAGCAGTGATATTTGCCAGACACAGCCCTGAAAACTGTCCACAAGACTGTCCATCTTCACCCTTTCTTAGATACCAGCATGGTTTTCAGTTCGCCTGTAAATATGTTTAATTTATAAGTATTTTTTTGAGGAATTTTGCATCGATGTTCTTCTGGGAATGTGGCATATCGTTTTTTTCTTCTGTTGTATTCTTATTCTAAGTAGAGTATGCACAGTATGAGTCGGGGGTGCCACAGGAAGGAGGAAAGGGACCATTCAGAGTGGGAAGTGGGAGCAAAAAAGGGCAACAAGGAATAGATAAAGAGCAAAGCACATAATAGGCATATATGGCAAAGTTCATAATGAAGCCCTTCATTTTGAGATGAAGACATACTAATTTTTAAAAAAAAAAGAAAAGAATCACCCATAGACATAGGATGCCAGAGAAGGCTAGTTAAAATCCATAAGAATATTTAAACTGGGGTTTTCTTGTGACATAAAGTGCTTCTGCTACCTCCTCAAGACATCATCCACCCTCAGTCTTTGAATGGAACTTAGACAGACTCTTGTTGCTCTTGCACTGGAGAGTTCTGTAAAGGGAGACATTTCCACTTTCCACGTCTCCACACTTCAGCAGTTTTTCTTGGCAACTGTCTCTCCTGTAATTCAGGGAGTGGCCTTCTGCTCGGCGTCATTGCGGAGGCGGAGCCTTCTTGGAGCAGTGCCTGGGAGTTCTGCTCTGCCAGCCTTGGGGGAGGAGCCGCATTTTACCAGGCTGCAGCTGACAAGAAGCGTCAAGGTAATGTCTGACTTAAATTTATTTTCTAGTGACTTCTCAGAGCTCTGGGGTCAAAAATGAGAAAATAGGAAGGATGAGCTTGGAGTGGAAGGAACACTGTGTGATTTTTTAAAAGAATTGCTGGCATTTTGACGACATTAATCCTCTGGAACTTTTGTGTCTTCCAAGGTTTTTTAAGTCCACAGAGGGGAAAGGGGTGATCAGATTACAGCCTCTAAATTAAGGCTTCAGGGCATCATGGCCGTTCATACTAATTTCCTAACTTGGCAGACCCTGTTGATATTACAAGGCGTTCTGTTATTCTATGAAGTTTCAAACATTTATTCATTACACAGAACTAAAACTGACAAAAGTATTCAACAACAGTGTATTCATGCGTCTGCTAATTGGAATACACAGAAAAGTGTGTATATGTTCCATTCATAGGAATATAGGAAGGGGATCAAATGTACAGTTGCGTGAAGACATGGGCACATAATCTAAGCATGTATATATGTGTGGTTGGAAAAAAGCGACAGAAACTCCTGTGTTAGCATTCAGCATTTCTGGGTAGTCAGGCTGCTGTTCTATTTGTAATAAGTTTATCCCATTTCAGTACCATTAGAGTGTAGATTGTCTTACGGTTATTTGTATGATTGTGAAAGAAAAATGAATCTCAAACAGCATACTCATTTTGTTTCAGGCACACACACACATTTATAAACATACATAAATGCTTCTAAAACCATACTTATTTTTTTCCAGGAGTGGAAGTTTCCCTACATCTGGTCAAATGAGTAGCTTAGTTGCTGTTCTGATTATAACTAACTCTGTGTGTGTCCTCCTTGCACTTCATTGTTTCAGGTCACGTGGTGAACCTTGGTTGCCAAAAATCATTTTTCTGCATCATCTCAGTGTATGGACAAAATGACACATTTGGTTTATTCCTATAAGCCATTTCAATAATATTCTATTATACATGCAAACTCTGTAGTACATAGCTGGTAAATAGAAAGCAGAAGCCTCCAAAGTTTCTGAGAAATATAGTACTTGATAAATAGAGAAAACTGTGGAACAGTAACTACATTTGCTATCTCAACATATGTATGTTACTATAATGGATGTAATTAAATATCAAAATTTTATCTTTAACAAAAATATACATTATCTATATAGAGAATCAGAGCTACCTTTACCATTCTGTGTATTTAAAATAGTAACCCATATATATTTGGGCTTTTTTTTACATCTTCAGTGAAATATTGAAATAAAATATTACAGACTTGGTACAGGCTCATTTAATAAGTTATGTAAAATCATGTGGAAAAAACTTATTTATATAGAATCATATTGAAATCAAACTCTTGAAAGGGGTTCCTGAACCTGGTTTGAAATGGACATTTATTCTCTGGCGTATAAATTTTCTAGAAAGAGGATATTCATTGTGGATATTAGTGTCAAGTTGTACTTGGCTTTTATTTTTATATGTATTTGGTATCATTTCAATTTTAAGTGAGCTTCTGGATCATCGGAATAACTGTGCTGAAAATATTACCCTATTTCTATCCTGACTACAAACTCTTCAATGTACTTTATTTAATGTTTCTAAATGTGGTACAGGGAATGGAACCCCGGACCTTATAGATGCCAGGCAAACAATCTAACACTGAGCCACATCCTCAGCCCTTAAATCCTTATCCTTAGCATAAAGGATTCTAAAAACCCAAGAAGGCTCCTGACGGTTAGCACAGTTTCTAACCTTCTCCCATAAAAAGGATCTTATGTTAAGGCCCTACCTATATCACCAACAGACTACATGTCTGGTTCTGGTCATAACATGGCATATGTGCCAGAAAGCCTGAATTTTCTTCAGGCAATCATTGTTATAAAGCAGGGAAACAAAGCAGAGAAACTATTTTTTAAATTAATTAGACTATGAGGCAGAGTGTGCCATATAACTCTGATTCTGTTGAAGACAATTGCAAGTTTAAATAAATCCACTTGATAACTAAGGTGAAGATTCAATCAGAAAGTCTAAACTGTGATTCATAGTAGACACGAGATAATTTATCACCTCCCTTCCCTCGTGCCTCACCTCCTACTTTTCTAGAATGAGATCATTTCAGCATGAATGGTAAGGAATATTTCATCTTGTAAGGATACAAGGGAAAACAAATATGACATTGTAGTGATATTCCATCTGTATTTCATAAATAAAGCTTGCCTCTAGATCAGGGAGTAAAACAGCCCCATGATCAGCCTTACTGACCAGGCAGTGGTGACACACCCCTTTAATCCCAATAGATACACTAGTTGCCATAGAAACCAAGTGGTAGTGGTGCGTGTCCTTTAATCCCAGCCCTAGAAAGGATTATAAAACGGGAGGAGACAGCTCTCACACACAGTCTCATTCTGAGATTCCTGGAGGCAGGAGCGCCATTTCGGACTGAGGTAGAGGCAAGAGCCGGTAGCTGGTTGCTTTGCTTTTCTGACCTTTAGGTAAGTTTTATTTATTACAATACAAATGAAATATCACTACATGACAGTCACATTAATGATGAGATTTTCTCTCATGCCTGTGTTTCACAGCGGCATGCCAATGAGTTTAGGTAGACAGGTTGTTGTTCTTTTTTTTTTTTTACCACTTCCCTTTTACTTATTTGATTCCCTGTCTTCCCTTTGTCCAGCCTCGGCTGATGTCAGAGGCTCATGAGCTGTGGGAACTCTGCATGTGATTCGACTTGAGCCCAGAAAGGCAGTGTGACTACATATGTGCTCCCAACGGTGAAAGGGCTGCCTGGAAATCAACTGGCTTGAGAGTCAAGACAGTTGGATCACATTGCAAGACAGTCACTGTCCATGTGACAGAGGGTAAGATTTGTCCCATTTCAGGAGATGCTTCACATTTGAAAATATGATGAGATCTTAAAGGATACTTGACTTTGCTTCCTGTTTTCTGTCTGAAACATTACAACTTAAAAAGAACTTTTGTATAAACATAAGTCAGTTGAAAATTTGAAGCAAAGCCTTGTGCTTAGCTAAAACACTGCCGTGTAGTGCTAATGAAGTATTGGAATCATTTTAGAACTTTGTAGAATTGTAATTTTTAAGCTCATTCTAGAAATTCTGAATAAGACTTTACAAATAGAGCCTAACGCCAAGCAGTGGTGGCGCACGCCTTTAATCCCAGCACTCGGGAGGCAGAGGCAGGCAGATCTCTGTGAGTTGGAGGTCAGCCTGGTCTACAAGAGCTAGTTCCAGGACAGGCTTCAAAACTACAGAGAAACCCTGTCTCGAAAACCCAAAAAAGAATGGAAGCTAACATTCTGTGAGGCCCTCCATATGATCCTCATGGTTGCTAAATCTGAAGTTTCACTACCACAGAAGTAATTCTAGGAATACAAAAAACTCAAAGTATTGGATGACATGAATAGATTCCGTAGCATACAATTACAAGTACTTCTAGCTATAATTAAGCATATTCTTTAACAAAAATGTAAGGGTTCTTGAATTGGGATTATCCCACAAGCTGATTTCCCACTGTTACCTCCTGTCCATTAGGCTGCTGTTTTTTTTCTGTCTGGTCTCTCAATGAACACAATTCTTTTTATTTTATCTCTTTTGTTTGTTCTTGCTCACATACTACTTTGGCAAGATAGTTTTATTTATTAATAGTGTTTTCCCTATTTCAGTATCTTCCAGAGTTCTTATTCAAACAACATGTTCAAGTATCCTGGGGACATATTTGTGGAAGAAAACAGTGCACATAAACCATAAACTCTTTGTGGCTCTAAACCAAAAGAAACTTTAATAAGACTGTTGTTTTGATAGCACTTGTATTTTCAGACACAAGGTCAACCAATCTTTGTAATACTAACTACTTGGCACACTAATCTAAATCATAATGGATGATGACTATGTCCTATGTTATTGGAAAGAACAGTTATGGCCAGCAAAAGTCTTATATAGGTCTGAAACTTCGTCAACTAGTAAAAGAGAAAACGCATTTTCTCTGGAAGTTCAAATACTTTCACTAGGTGAGAAAATTACGGTGGACAGCAGAGACACAAAAGTCCTAAGTAAATCCGAGGTGGAAGAAATTGTGTCCTCACTAGCAGTACAGTCAGAGGTCAGAGTTCTACCTAGGGAAGAGACAGCCTATGAAAGATCACTGAAAATGGCGCTGGAAATGGTGAAAGAGATAACAAATCAGAGCCAGGAAAGCATGCCAGGTGAAGAAGACACCACTAGAGCATCTGAAAGTGAACCACCGGAGCTGTCTGATTCACCTCCCCCTAAAAAGTATCGGAAACTGGAAAGCAGCCCCCAAGAAGACTCAGCCTCCATTTTACTGTGCTCAGAGAGTGATGATTCCCTAGCTGACGATAAGCTGCAGGTGTACACAGTTCACGAGGGTATTCCAAATGAAGAGGATTCAAAGCCACCCCAAGCCTTCAGCTGGTACCCAGTTTACCCTTCGTTTATAAACAATGATGATGATGATGATAAAAAAGAAGAAAAGAAAAAGATTGACATCTCAGCAATTATGTCTGTGAATTTATCATTCAAAGATGAAAGTGAAGACAATAAAGAAGAAAAGTTCATTCTGTCAGCAGACGATCTGGTTGTAGCCAAAGAAGAGTCCCAAGGCATCCATCCAGAAGCCCCAGCAGGTTCACCTGAATGCTCCACCTTCCCAGAGGATTATATGGAAGATCCTGGAGAGGGCCCATCATATCTGATTCCATGCTTCTATGGCAGCCAGAATCAGTCTTATGTGGAATCAGAAATGGGTGCTGAGACCTCCCCTGCAGGCTGCTCAGGGGACTCTCAGGTTTCACTTCCTGCCTGTAGTAATCCAGTCAACAATGACCTACTACTTCAGAGACTGAATTTCCAAGATCTTGAGGAAGAAGCTCGAGCTTCTGGCAAGCTACAGTCTCTAAATCCTGTTAGTGCAGCTGCAATAGACAATGATGATGAGGACGATGATGAAGACCTTCCCCGCTTCATTCTCTGCTACGAGACGCGTGCATTTGAACCCGGAATGATAGTGTGGTTTAAATATCAAAAATACCCATTTTGGCCAGCAGTGATAAAAAGCATTAGGCGAAAAGAGAGGAAAGCAAGTGTGCTTTTTGTTGAGGCAAACATGAATCCTCAAAAGAAAGGTGTTAGAGTCTCTTTGAGAAGATTAAAAAAATACGACTGTAAAGAGAAGCAGGCACTAGTGGAGAAAGCTAGGGAGGAGTACGGTGAAAGCATCGATTGGTGTGTGTCACTGATTTGCGACTACAGAGTTAGACTAGGTTGTGGATCTTTTACAGGCTCATTCTTTGAGTACTATGCTGCTGACATCAGTTACCCAGTCAGGAAAATCATCAAGCAAGACACCTTCAGAAATATCTTTCCAAAGCTACCTAATGAAGACACAGGGGAGCAAATGACTGTGACTTCCCATGCCAAGAGAATATCTTTCCAGAAAATCCTCCCTGACCGGATGAAGCCTGCTCGGGACCGTGCTAACAAGAACCTGGTCGATTTCATTGTCAATGCAAAAGGTGCAGAGAGCCATCTCCTGGGCATTTTAAAGGGCACAAAAAAATCCAGATGGCTGAAATCATTTTTGAATGCCAAGAGTTTCACACCCTGTATCGAAACATACTTTGAAGATGAAGATCAACTAGATGAGGTGGTGAAATATCTACAAGAAATTTATAAACAAATCGATCAGAAGATGCTCACTCTGATAAAAGGTGACAAAATTAAGTTTATCTTGGAAGTTCTTCTACCAGAAGCAATTATTTGCTCAATTTCTGCTGTTGATGGCTTAGATTATGAGGCAGCTGAGGCAAAGTATCTCAAAGGACCGTCCCTTGGCTATAGGGAGAGAGAATTATATGATTCCAAAATCATATTTGAAAAGAGACGGAGGTCGTTAGCAAACGAAGCTCAGTAATTATGCCAAGAGTTTAAACCATAAGGGAAGATAGAGGAAACTTTGGAAAAGTTATCATCTAGAATTTCCAACATGTAAATATTGGCGAAAATATGTGCAGGGGAGGGTCTTTGAATCACAAGTTCTTTTATTTTTTGAAGATCTGTGTGATCTGCAGATACCACTACATCCATCTTTATTTTCTTGCACTTTTTCAGAATCAGCTTTGTCAATATATTTTTAGCAGTTTAATTTTTTAATACATTTTAGAATACATAATTCTTAAGCAATTTAAGGGAAACTACTATTTTGTTCTATGATATTTTGTGTCTTTGCTGTATAGGTAAATGCAGTATGCACATTCAGTTTGATAAAATTGCACTGGTATTAGATTTTAAGCAAGAGAATTAGAAAAGATGTCGAAAACTAATATCAGTTATATATTTTTTGCTCAATTTTTTAAATAAAATACCGAGTTTTCTCTTAAGATAGCTGAATTATTTTTCCTGTCATGCCTATTTATTTTTTGGAAAATTATCTCTAAATCATAGAACCAAAGATAGACTAAATGTTGCTACATGTCATAACTAACCACAATTGCTTTTGCCAGGAAACAATCTAAAATTAAAAAGTATATGGGTTATCTGCATGTAATCTGTGTGTGTGTGTGTGTGTGTGTGTGTGTGTGTGTGTGTATACAACATCTCAGCATGCAGAAAATGACTTTTGGCATCCATGAACAGAATTGTTCATTTTACACTTCTCTGAAATTGCAGTTTGAGGAGTGTCTGTCTTTTGATGCTGAATCGTTTTTAAAACAGATGAACTTCTGGTTATCTTCATAATTGTGAGTAGGTCTTATTACTATAGCTATCTGAGCGCATGTAGAAGACAGTTATAATTAGCATATCAACAGTCCTACCCCTCTACACTCCAGGGTTGCTGCTTCAACGTCTATCTAGTTTGTATAAACTAGAAAAAGCAAGCACTGTGTTCAGAATCCTATCTCCAGTTAGAAATCCATTTGTCTCAAACCAAGCAAGCTTTAGCACCTAGCTTATGTATAGAATGGTTCCAATTGGTTCCAATAACATAAATGCCAACTGGTAAATCATTCCAACCTACTAGATGGACCAGAATCTGGAAATTTGGAAAACATGTTACAGCAAAAGTTCTTTACTTGCTACATGTGGCAGTTATTCTGTATATGGTTACGTATACAAAATCAGATGTTCTTGTAACTTGAAACAAGATTTTTTATAAGTCTTAGAAAAGCTAGTATATTAAAAATAACTTGATGTGAAAAGATGTATTAAGGGCTTAATACAAACCTGTCTACATTTTTGCCTCCAACTTTCACTCTTGGGCTCTTCTTTTGTGTTCATTTCACATGGCTATATGTTTATGTACAATTTGCAAAGTTTTGGTATTTGATTTATAATGAAAACATGGCATCTTTCACCTTAGATGTTAATTTAGTTGTATAGCAACACGGTGGTGGTTTGTGTAAATTAATATATGTACATGCATATATATGCACACACACAATTTAAAACTTTTGCTCATTGTCATCATTTAATTCTTGTTATGAATTGTCATTCTAAATAAATGCCCACTTTCATGATTGATTTTGTATTGTTTTAAAAGAAAACCTTCCCAATTGTTTATGCTTTCTATGTAATGAAATCATCTTTGGATCCTGTCTAAAATTTACCAATATTCTTTTTATATGCTTAATGTGTCAGTGCCCATATTTTTCACCTAGCTTTTAGAAGTTTGTTAAGACACAACACACCATACAATATGTAGATTCTACATCCTAGGAAAATGCATTATATTTACACAATATACTATGTCCCTCTGGCTCCAACTTATTGCCCCCTTCAGTATCCCCAAGAAGTTATCTCTGGTTCTAATACATTTTAATTACTCTACTCATTGCTGTCAATTAGGAGATCAAGTGTATACAGATTAAATCTTTGTTCTGAGGCGAGGTTGTGGGTGCCATATTAATGAGACCCAGGTGCCAGTTTCTAATGTGACCATGTTTGTTACATCACACTGAGAAATAGTAAACTTACAGATTGCTTATATTTGAAAATAAGAGCATCAGATTTTTTTCATATTAGGGAATGCCTTGTTATTCTCTTTGAGGTAAATCTGATCCCTTTAGAAATGTCATCTATCTTTTGGCATACGCTGAACTGAGACATCTGTGCCCATTGAATAGGTTATCAAGTGGTATTTGGGCTGTAGAAAAGAATGAGCTTAGTTGACTTCCTCACATTGCTTTCAGACTATGTGAATATTAATGCAGGCTATACGTTTGTCTCAAGCTTGATCCTTAGCATATGCTTTTAGTCCAAGGGAAATGCATGTTTTGCCATCTACCCTAACCACTGGGTAAAGGTGGCCCTCATCTCTAGTTAAATGAAGCCTGCTCAATTTCAAAACCAGATTTTATTTAGGTGTCTGCCAAGCTGCATGGAGACTTTGCACAGTATTCAAAGGGTTATACATATATGTATCTGTATCCAAACAAGTAAAGAATAGAATTCTGAGACATAGAATATTGATAGAAATAATAAACTTTTTGAAATATAATTTCACATAGCACAAACTGGCCTGGAACTCAAAATGTATTTAAGACTCCCTGTGAACTTCTGATCCTCCTGTTCTTCCTGCCTTTGGGAGTGAACCATCATGCCCAGAAAAAATGAGAATCTTGAATACCTAAAATCATCTGAACCTTCAGCCTAACAAAAGCAGTTAATTTGAAACTGTTGAAAGCATATCTGTAAGCATCTGGGAATTTAAAAATGAATCAGAGAAATATTCTTCTTTAGACTAAGTAAGAATATGCATGATTATACACAATATGAAGTTAACATCCAAAGTCAGGGAATTGACAATCCTAAATTGATACAAACTTTTGTAAAAAATGAATGTCAGCAAAGCTAATGTTCATATAAAAATAAATGCTTAGACCTAACCACATTTTTACCTCTTTGTATGGTCTACCTGGACCTCATTTGTGATGCCACACATATTCAGTGTAATGACTATATCAACTCAATGTACGTCTTTTATTGGGAGAAGGGAATAGTTTTCCTTTCTCCCCCTTCATTTTAAAGACGCTTCCTTTAATGTAAATTAAGCTGTATTTCATATAGAATGGGTGACTCCCCATTTTCCTTTTATTTAATATACTTTTGTTTAGAGGAGACAGAGTCAGCCAAGATAAATGAACATTAAAAATACAACACATTGTCACATTTATGATGTTGATTTTCAGAAATAAAGCAGATAAAATGCCCTTATTTGAGTAGGCTCTCTGAAGCTTGACTAAGGAACCCCAATGACAAAGTAATTCACTGAAACAACAAACATGGCATCAATTTTTTGCAGTTAATCCTTTGAGAATACTCAGCCTAATTGAAAAAATACAATAGCAACCCTGATGTTGAAAGCTGGATGAGTGAATTTAAAATATGATACATGAATCTTTTAACTATTGTATTGGACACTTTGATCACTTTGAAAACAACAGCATGGATTTACACAAACCTAGATGATCTAGCTCTGCTGCATACAAAGGCTCCATGATGCATCTTATCACTCACAGGTCATAAGTTTCTACAGCATGCTATTTTACTGAATACAGTAGGAAACTATAATACAATGGTAAGTATTCATTCCTAAACATAGAAAAGATAGAGCAACACCAAAACATGGGTGATTAAATGTTGTCTTACCAAAGTCCCACAATAGCCTGGAATGGAGTATAACAAAGGTTTATTTATTTGGGGATAAACCCACAGTCCTCTACTTACACTGGGAATTGGAATCATATCCAGCAACAAAGAGAGCTGCACAAGTTTTTCTTCTGCATTTATAGTATATGAGACCATGCCCAAAATGGGCGAGTATCTTAAAGGCTATTGTTGGCTGAAGGAGTTCCCACAACACCTTTCCCTTTTGTCTAAATAAGAGCATTCTAAGCCTAGTAAAAAACTATATACAATAAGAACAAATATCAAGTATTGTCCAGGAAAAAGAAGGGGCAAAAGCATACATAAAAATTAGAATTACAACCAGAATGAACAACATCAAACATGAAACATCTGCTAAATGTTACAATAACTGTTCTATCCTAAGGAGTCTAAATCTTACATTAAAATTTCTTGGATAAGTCATGGGAGGAAAGTAACTATGGTTATCTAGTCTTCAACCCCATTAAAGATCTGAGAAGGGAAATAATATTACCTGTGTAAACAGGAAGTACAATCAAGCAACTTACAAAAGATACAACAAATGGCAGAGACAATCAGCTACCCAAGCAATCACTCAAAGTCTCATTTGCAAAGCTGGGGCAACCAACTTTGGCTAAGGCCTAGAGTATCTGACAGACCATTTTCAGAAGCAGGAAAATTTTCAAAATTCTCTTGGCAAGGTTTGACAGTCTTTTTGCTTGTATCCTGCTTGTCCAGTTTGGACACCATACATTTTGTCAGTAGTCGAGGGAGGGGTGGTTCTTTGCCCAAAGGTCAGTTTTGCCAAGAAGAAAACAAACTCCAAGTGGAGTGTTTTCAGTGCCCAACATTCTCTCAGGAATAGATCAGTAATGCCAGGAGCAATTGTGTCTCACATCAGCAGAATCCTAAGTTACTTAAATGCCATATTGTACAGTTCTTTGAAGTGGTTAAAATTTACCTGTCCATGAGGAATACAATCTCTATGCATCTAAAGAACCTGACTAGTCTAATATAAGAATGACAAACATGGATGACTATTGACCTGTAAGTTTTAATACCTATATAGCTTAAAGACTAAGGCTTCATATTAAAATATTGAACGATCTTTAAACAAATGTGCAGAAAATGAGGATCATGATCTCAAAATGCAATATATATATATATATATATATATATATATATACACACACACACACATATATGTGTGTGTATCTTGATCAGAGGTAGAAATGTACAGTGCAATATGATAAATAAATCCTAAAATTGCAGCAATATACAAAATATCTTAAGCAGAGGTAGAAACATACATGCATATGAAGTGGGATTCCCCTCTGTATGTTGTGATTACAATTAATGAATAAAAAAAGCTGGCTTAAGCCTGTATCAGGGCAGAACAGAGGTAGGCAGGGAAAACTAAACTGAACGCTGGGAGAAAAATAGCAGAGTCAAGAGACGCCATGCAGCTCCACCAGAGACAGATGCCGAACTTTGTCCAGTAAGCCACAGCCTCACGACGATACACAGATTAATGAAGATGGGTTAATTTAAGATATGAGTTAGTCAGAAATACGCTTAAGCTATTGGCCAAACATTATTGCAAGAAATATGGTTTCTGGGTGATTATTTAGGGGCTGAGCAGCCGGGAACAAACAAGCAGCCTCACTACTACATGTATACAATATGACAAAATAACTCACTAGTTTGTTGTCATACCAAAGAGATCCACAATTGCCTGGCATGGAGTATAACAAAGGTTTATTTATTTGGGGTTAAACTCACAGTAAGGGTAGCGATCTGCAGTCCTCTGCATGCACTGGGAACTGGAACTGAATCCAGCAGCAAAGAGAGACATGCATGCTTTTCATCTGCATTTATAGTATACGAGATCATGCCAAACTGGGCCAGTATCTTAAAGACTATTGGCTGAAGGAGTAGCCATAACAAATAAATTGAATGTCTGTAAATCATGCCAAGAATGAAGCTTTTGGGACTAGAAATTGCCCTGGATGAGGGAATGAGTCAGTAGTGAGGGAATGTAAAAGCCTCAAATATGATAGTGCACTTCTGTAATATTCATGCACACTATACACTTTAGCTACACTTATGTTCACATACCCATAAGCAGACATATAAACCCTCATAATTAAAAACAATAAAAATAAATTTGAAATAACTAATTTTTAGAAAAACCTATAAACATCTTTATCACACTACTCTCCCCAAGGTCATGGAGAAGAAGGTGAAAAGATTGTAAGAGACAGAGGTGATGGTTTACTATACAGAAAGAGTGTTTCCAGTCACATAAGAGATGTTACACATATATAAATGCATAATTATTGTGGGAACACACATAAGACCTTCACAAGCTAAAGTCACACAAAATCCCATAATAGAATATGAGTGGATAGGCATGAATTCTCACCTCTACTTACAGAGCTTTTGACAACTAATAGCTGTCAAGAAAGAGAAAATCAGTTCTCTGATAGGTTAAACACACTCCAGAGCCAGCCCCATATCCAAGAGTATTTGAGCTCCACAAACTGGATTCCAGGAGTAAACAAACAAACAAACAAACAAAAAACCCAAACAGGAGGTTGGGTGATGTGTGAGAGGAGTTGGGGGAGGGATGTGATTATGACCAAAATATATTACATAAAATTGTGAAAGAAACAATAAAAATATCTAAAACCAGAAATAAAACATTCACAATTTTAAAGGTAACATTACTTCCAATCTCATAATTTATTCACATACCCATAACAAGTTCAATTCAAAGACTCAACAATAATGAATCACAAATGAATACAAAGATCTACAAGTTTCAGGATACCAAAGAGCTGTTAGTGTAGAATACCCAAAGAATTCTAAT